TGTAGAATGTGAGTGTTTGTATATTCATATGTGTGTGTTTATATGCGTGTGTGTGCGTGTATGTGTTTGTTGTTTTGTCAAAAACAACCCGTGATGAAAGAAAGAGAGAAAAGTACAAGACATAGGAGGGATGGATAGAGTGGCAGAGATTTTAAGAGAAAAAAAAGAGATAAAAAGAAAGGGAGAGAGAGAGAGAGAGAGAGAGAGAGATGAAAGGAAATTTAGTGAGATGATGTGTGTGTGTGAGTGTGTGTGTGTGTGTGTGTGTGTGTGTTTGTTGGTTTTCATGTGTAGTATGTTTGTACTTTTGTGGATGTTTGTTTAAACTTTCGTGTATGTGTGTATCTGTATGTGTGTATGAATGTGTGTATGTATGTGTGTACGTATGTGTGTACGTATGTGTGTACGTATGTGTGTATCTTTTTTTAAAATCACCTAATGAGATATTTGACCTACAAAATTAATTAAGTGATTCTAAGTTAACTAAACTCGACTATAATGTGGATATATTTACTTAAAACCTATTATTATTATTATTATTACCATTCATATATTTCTATAAAATTTATAATTTTACTATTATTTGCATTTTGTTATAATGCTAGTGTTGTTGTTGTTACTAAACGTCACTAGAAGAGTTAGTCCGGAGGGGTCGTGTGGCTCGGCCCTCTGAAGTTAAGGGGGCTCTCAAAACTGAGTTGAATGGACTTCTTTGAACAGAATTGGTTCAAAACCCTCAGGTTGAACAGCCAGAATCTCAAAATGGGTCGTATATGGGATCTGTTTATTACTATTATATTATTAATATTATTATTTTCAGTAGTAATTGTTGTTACGGTAATAATAGTAGTATTGTAATTATTATTATTAGTAATTATATAATAATAATAATAATTATTATTATTATTAATAGGTATTATTATTATTATTATTTTTTTTATTATTATTATTTTTACTCTTTACATTTTAAACAAAAAGGCCATAGATTAATAATTCGATAATGTTTCATCTATGCTCCTAATACCATCTACTCGTATTGCTTTTATGACATGAAATCTATCGGACGATAATAGGAGTATGAGCGATAAAAAGCCTAACTAAAAAGAAGCTACTACTACTACTACTACTACTACTACTACTACTACTACTACTACTACTACTACTACTACTACTACTACTGCTACTACTACTGCTAATATACTGTTAATTTTTAATCACGCAACTAATCTTATTTATTTGCTTAAAATGATTGAGGTCAAATAGTAAAAATTATTCTTGATAATAAAGACAATAATAATAAAATAATAACAATAATAATAATAAAATAATAATAATAACAATATAAGGATAAAATAATAACAATAGCTATTTTTATTATTATGGCTGAACCAATCGAACAAGCCACACAACAGCCTAAAAGTATCTGCTGTTCTGTAATCATTTCCGCGTTTGAATTTTTGCATTAAAATTTTCACATACACAAACACACACACACACACACACATACACACACACACACACATACACACACATACATTCAAATACTCATTCATAGACAACACACACAAGATTGTAATAAAGACCATGCGAAATATTTTTTGGATAAGCACACACAAACACATAAAAAATAAAACACACAGATAAATACATACATATATTCAAACATATGTACATAAACACCGTACATTCATAGATACAAACACACACAAGCATACACAAACATACAAACACAAAATGCAAACCAGGTAATTGTGTGAAATTTCATTTTAATGCATGACTGATGTTTTGGGTAAAAACCTCATTTATTGTATGTATATATATATTTGTATATATATTTTTTTATATGTGTGCGTGCGTGCGTGTGTGGTGTGTCTGTGTGTGTGTGGTTACGTGTTTTTGATGTCGGTTATTCATGAATTTTTTAAACTTGTTTTTACTCAGCTACATACAATTATTAAAAGGTTGAATCTTTACATTTGTGTTCTTAATTAGTGAGAGAGAAAAAGAAAGAGAGAGAGAGAGAGAGAGAGAGAGAGAGAGAGAGAGAGAGAAAAGAAAGAAAGGCCAGAGAAAGACGACAGATGGATTAATAGATAGAGAGAAAAAGAGAGAAAAAGAGAGAGAGAGAGAGAGGGAGAGAGAGAGAGAGCATAACCGGCTATTGTGCGAGTTAGAGATTTAGGAGAACCATACATAAATTTTACCTTTAAGACGTAAATTTTTAAAGGTTTTAATAATAATAATAATAATAGAAATAATAATAATAATCGTGATATGAATAAGAATATAAATTTGAATAATAATAATAATAATATGAATAATAACTTAAATTTTTAGCAAATAATGGTAATTACTGCACTTGCATTAATTTTTACAAATTTAATTTACGTACGAACTCTGTTTTATGTTTCAAAACAAATGTATCCGCCTATAAAAAAAATGTTCACACACACACACACACACACACACACACACACACACACACACACACACACACACACACACACACACACACACTTACACGTACGTACACACACACGAACGTACGTACACACACACATACACACACACACACGCACACATGCATGCAGATGACTTCAAGATACCGCCGTATTAGGACTGATCTTGAAGGGTCCGCCAAGGTCCTTGCCAATGTCGGAACTATGAAATCAAAACCAAACAAATCCATCAGTTGAGGATGGTAAACGTCCGGATGACTGCACTCTGATCCCACGGGAGACTGGCAAATGTTTAACTTGGGACGTCACTCCTCCTGACTCCCATGCGGAACGATACATCGATCTAACCAAATTTGAAAGTGGTTCTGTCGCGACCAGGGCTTCCGATAAAAAACTTAAAAACACGATAACACCCTGTCTTCAATGGAATTTTTTCGGATATGTGTTGAAGGCCTTGGTCTTATGAACAAAGCTACGGCAAATTTTTTAAAGGCTTTTCAGCCTTATTAGTGCAAGATCCGGAGAGAAAAGAGAATTTCTCTTCGCAATGAGGCACATGTCTTGTACATTGCAGCCGTTACTTCGTGTTTCAGAGACTGACTGGAAATAAAATTCAAGTGGATGCTGACATACATACAAACAAACAAACATATGTACATACATACATACAAACATACAATCATAATCATACATACATACATACAAACATACATACATACATACATACATACATACATACATACATACATACATACATACATACATACATACACACACGCGCACAGACACACACAAACATACATAATAACTTGCACGATTATAATATTAATAAATATTAGTAATCCCCACTATTAATAGAATGAAAGAAGCTGGGGCAACCCAAGATTTGTAATATAAGATTCTATATTTAGCCTTTTCATAAAATAACGTTTGCTTACGGTATTCACGTTCGAATATGTGTGCGTGTGTGTGTGTGCGTGAGTGTATGCGTGCGTGTGCGTGCGTGTGTGTGTGCGTGTGTGTGTAAACCTTTTGTTAAAAAAACGTGATTAAATTCAAATAGCGAGGTAATTTTGTGAAATCTCTAATTATTTATACATCATCCGTAATAATTTCGTGCCTCTGTGTGTTTGCTTTCATATATATATATATATATATATATATATATATATATATATATATATATATATATATATCTATTTATCTATATATATATATTGGACAATATGATGGCGCTTTTGAAATTATTAACTTGCGCTATACAAATGTTTCTAAATAAATAAATAAATATATATATATATATATATATATATATATATATATCGGCGTCATAGTCATCATCTTTATCTGGGAGTCCAAAACCATTTAAAATTCTGTGACGTCATCATCATAACCACCACCACCATCATCATCATCAACAACATCATCACTGGTACTACTACTACTACTACTACTACTACTACTACTACTACTGCTGCTGCTGCTGCTGCTGCTACTACTACTACTACTACTTTCACTTAATACTACGACAATTTCACAACGAAGGAAAAACGTGATCATTGTTTGAATGATTTGAGACAAATGAAAAGTTAAAAATCATTAAGCAAAGAGAGTTAATATTTTCTGAACATTTCATCCTTAGTTCCTTCACCATAGACAACAAATTCAACGCCTGGCTCGTGCAGAACTCCGTTGATCAAAAATTTAGCGCTATAACATTTTATTTCCCTGGAAAGATAATACGGTTGATTGTATTCTTGTTTGTTTATTTGTTCATTCATTAGGTCATTTATCTCTCAATCAATTAGTTCACTCACTCGCTCGCTCGCTCGCTCGCTCGCTCGCTCACTCACTCACTCACTCACTCACTCAAACAAACAAACAAACAATCAATCCCTCATTCATTCATCCATTAATCAATCAATTCATTCATTCATCAGTCATCCATCTAATGATTCTTTCATTGTTTCACGTTTTTCAATCTTCTATTCATCCATCATTCCATCCATTCGTCTATCCAATAATTCATTCATTTATTCATTCATTCATCATTAATTAATAAATTAATCAATTAATTAATTCATTCAATCATTCATTCATCCATTCATTCATCTAGAACCTTGGATAAAAGTGTATGTTTATGACAACGTAGTTATCATAGCTGCTACCCAACCTACCATCGCACGGTTCAATGAAGAATTCGGATGACCATGCTGACGACTGTTGGTCTGGAGATAATTTTTTTTGTATGTTTTTTTTTGTATTTTTGTATGCGTGTATGTATAAGTATGTGTGTACGTGTGTGTGTACGTGTGTGTGTGTGTATGTGTGAGCGTTTGTGTTGTGTATGTCAGAATATTCGGAAGGAATTTGGCATTCGGTTTCGGTTTAAGACATCACTATTTTGCATTTTAGAACAACAATTGTTGATTGTCATTAGCAGGAAATTTATTCTATTTATTTGTTCATTTAATCATTCATTCATTCATTCATTTTTTCATTATTCATTCATTCAATCATTTATTTTTTCATTATTAATTAATTCATTCGTTCGTTCATTCATTCATTCATTCATTCATTCATTCATTCATTCATTCATTCATTCATTCATTCATTCATTCATTCATTCATTCATTCATTCATTCATTCATTCATTCATTCATTCATTCATTCATTCATTCATTCATTCATTCATTCACTTAACAGAACTAAACAACCTCTAACCTAGTACAGCGAACCAATAGCATGTCGATTCGGAAGTATTCGTCAGTCTTACGGTTCCGGTCCATCCCTGATCGACGTAACATTTACCGAAATCGACGCAAGTATCCGACAGACGGAATTTCGGTAAAACCAATCGCGCGTACATAGGTAACTCCATCTAGAAGTGATAATAATAACAACAACAACAGCAACAACAACAACAACAACAACAGCAATAACAGCAACAACAACAACAGCAACAACAACAGCAACAACAACAACAATAATAATAACAATAATAACCTTATAAGGCAGCATGAGCAAGCATCTATCGTGACAGCACTGACAATAAAAGTTAATGTAAGCGCTATCTAATATGTGCAGTGATGTCTGATTCTCGTCATCGCAGTATCTCTTGTTGTTGTTGTTGTTATTGTCGTTGTTGTTGTTGTTTTCGATCTCATGCCTTTCTTCAACGTGATCCATTGTTAATGTGAAGTTTATTTTCACCTATTTAAACGTAAAATCCATCAAAATGTAATTGTAATAACAGAAATAAACTACAATAATAATAATAAAAATAATAATAATAACAATAACAACAACAATAATAATAACTGACCTTCACCTTGTGACCAGGCTTAAGGGTGTAAACCTCACTTACGTAGCGACTCTTCGCTTCTTTGGTTGAGAATATTGAGAATGGCTGGTCAGCTGATGCGTTGAATTGCACAGTTGCTTCCGTACAATTCGTGACGTAGATGGATGACGTCATCATGTGAAATGGTTTTAGCTCCTGGTAATGATCGGGGTGAATGATTCAACAACAACAGCAACAACAACAGCAACATGATGGTGATGATGGTAGTGTTCATGGTGAATGTGATTTTATGTGGACACATTCTTTACGTATGTATGTCTTTCTCTCTCTCTCTCTTTCTCTCTCTCTCTCTCTCTCTCTCTCTTATTATAAATTTTAAACAAATGAAACGATAAAAAAAACACACACATACAATATACATACATACATACACACACATACATACATACATACACACACATACACACACACACATACATACATACATACACATACACACACACACACACACACACACACACACACATACATTACAGTCGTCCATCAATAAGGATCCAGCCATCATTTTGAAGTATAATCCCTCATCTAATTCATAGTCTATATGTAATCTGTTTGGTGATAAATAAATAAATACATTAATTAATTAATTAATTTATTCATTAATTCATTCATTAATTCATTCATCCATGCAATCATTCATTCATTCATTAAACGAACGAACGAACGAACGAACGAACTTCGGTATAACCGAGGTAGCGTGTATGTTCAAGTTAACGGTTTCTAAATCGTAATGATCCTTCCTATGCAAGGCTCCCTCGATGCAACGCTCCTGATGATGATGATGATGATGAAGGTGATGATGAAGATGATGATGAAGATGATGATGAAGATGATGATGAAGATGATGACGATGATGAAGACGATGATGAAGATGATGATGATAGTGACGTTATTCGTTCAAACTAATGGTCATTTAGTCATTCAATCATTCAATCAATCATTCAATCAATTATTCAATCAATCATTCATTTTTCAATCATTCATTAATTCATTCATTCATTTATTAAATCGATCGATCAATCAACCAACCAACCAACTAACTTGCAAATTGTTTAAAATGATGTATGCACTAGCTAGATAGTTGTACGTGTGCTGATTATTATTATTATTATTATCATCTTTTTCAAATTTCAATCCTGGTCTGAATGTTACCTGGAATGTTCTACTCGTTCGCGGTCCCAACCTCTGATTGGTCAGTTACGTAATCATTATAATCATTATCATTACCGTCCTTATCTTAGCTTGATGTTATAAAGACTATACAAAATTGAATTTATCTTGATATTACAAACGAATCATTACAAAAAGCGAAATTAGTTTGATGTCACACCTCAAATACTCAGTTGAATATAAAAAAAAAATTAACTCGATATCACATAGACAAATCAATCACAAAAGCGATATTAGATCGATATTACAAACAAATCGATACAGAAACGAAATTAGTTTGATGTGACATAGCCCAATACAAACAGCATTCGACGGAGTAATTTGAAAAGGTGCAACTTGGCACCCTCTATTTCCCTGATGCTTGACCATTCTTAAGGATATCAATCTAGGCCTATGTTCTAAACCTGTGTATAATTATGTAAAATATATTATTTACCAGTATAATAATTATGAGAATTCTTTTTATTATAATCATCTTATAATAATAATATTAATAATAATAACAATTATAATTCTAATAATTATAAAATCAATTATCATAAATATACAAAATATAAAATCAATTATCATAAATATACAAAATGTTTATAGTCATCCGTTGTTCACCATCTGCATACCAGTACAAGGGTGATAAAAAAACTGCTATAAAAATTGTTCATGTATTGTTCCTATCACGGTATATCTTGTATGATGAATTAATTACACACTTCGTTAAGTTAACTTTAAAATCCTCTGGCCAAGTTAAATTAATTAATGATTAATAATATTAACAATTATAATTATAATTATAATAATTATAATTAATATTATTGCTAACTCACTCGCTAGGTTGTTTGGTATAAACGGTATGATACTTTCTGAAGAAACGTCCACACAGACGATGTCCACTAGCTTCCGGTCGTCATCAGATCTTGATAATAGTGTCCAGTCTAGTTGTATATCTGTACATATGTGTGTGTGTGTGTGTGTGTGTGTGCGTGAGTGAGTGTGTGTGTATATGAATGTGTTTATATATGTATGTGTGTACGTATGTGAGAGCCATTTTTTATATAGCAAAATTATAACAACAACAACACATAATTAGCAACAACAACAATAACAACGACAACAACAAACCAGCTGCCGATGTGTTAACAACATTGATTCCCCTATCAACCTGCTGACAACCGCACACGTGTGTACCAAACCTTTCGGTAAAATAGTATACAAACATACATACAAACAAACAAACAGGTACATACAAAAAGAGCGTACACACATCGACATACACAAACAGACAAACCAACAAACAAACAAACTTACAAAAAAACACAAAGATAGCGATCAAATAAACACAAACATGTCGACAAAGATACACACACACAACAACAACACACACACACAAACACGAATAAACACACACACACACCAGCGTACAAATGCACACACACACACACAAATACCTCAAATTAACATCTTGGCACCGGCCCATGAATTTATAGAACACTGGACAGCCAACGTATTCCACACAAATGGGGATTCTCGTACACTCTAACAATCCATCCACCTTTAATTCATTCAGTTAGATTCTTTTTATTATGCAATTTTGTACTGCATGAATATTCACACATGCATGTATGTGTGTACGTGTGAGTGCACGTGCCTGTACGTAACTACAAAAACACTTACATACGTCTGACATACAAGTTCATCTCTGTAGAGGCCCCAG